ATATGACCCAGTTTTCCCAGTATGAAGCAAATTTCTCCATTTTATGATTAACAAATGCTGTTATCTTCTCCATTTTGTAAATGTCCATTCTTCTTGTATATTCATATGTCTAAAATATGTTGTATATGAAGACACATTTAAATAACCTCTCACACAAAAGTCTCTGAAAATTGATCCACAAAGATAAAACATTCATAACACCAAGAGAGAGTGACACAGATGTAACTCTAAGCAGAAATGTAACCCTTGTGAATGAAAGTCCTGAATGTTTTTAGTTGATCAACACGTTGCTGAGTTCATGAGGATATTCTGTTTCACAGATTGCCTTTCAGCTGTCTGTTGTCAGTGCTGACCTCTGTATCATCGGCCTGTTGTCCAGTCAGTCACTCCGTCCCGTCTGAATGTCCAAACATGCTTCAGCTGAGATCATCATCATTAGAAAAAAAAACTTTATTTGAGATTAAATGATATAATTGAAGTGTTACTAACTTCTGTACTGTTGAGTTAAAGCAGGTTTCTGGCACTCTGCCTGTGCACCTTTCCACTGAATTAATCATGAGCTATGTTGTTGCTGTGTGGACAGGAAGTGGAAGAGGTTCACTACGCAGAGAAAGAGAAGCGCCATAGAGCTGACTCTGAAGATGAACCTCGCAAAGAAGCATTATGAGAGGAAATGTCAGTGGCTTGCACTCACCAAATGGTCAAACTGGGTAAAAATGCACAAGAAGACACAGGCTGGTAGGTGACTACTTAAGTATGTCTGAATGAAAAAATAATCACGAGGAGTTTTAACCAAACTAATGTGGACTGACTGTTGTTGCAAGCTATGACTCTCTTACGTATAGAGCCAGAGAAAACATGCAGTGTGGTTAAGAAATGTGTCCAGATATGTATCATTTCTTCCTCACTGTGTGACTCATTCTGTCCCCCACACCTTCCACTCTTAAACTCTTCCACTCCTGAGACTTGACTCTACTTTCATAAACTAAATTTGTCTTGAGATTCAGGACAATACGACTTTGTGATCATGATATCGTCGCCATCATTTAGTCCACAAAAAATGCAGAAATGAAAATAATACTTGTTCTGTTCAAAAGTGATGGACATCTATCATGAGCATGTCTTCTGATCTTGTTCCTAAAGACGGAAGTAGCAACAATCCTTTAACTCTGGGTTTTAGTATCAGTACAAATTTACATCCCTCTATCCTGCACACATCACCGAAGGTCTAATTCAATACCTACCTCCTAAAGATCTTCCTGGCAGCAAATAAAAAGTCCATTACAAAATATTGGCTTTAGAAAAACTGCCTCACTCCCAGCCTCTTTGTCAGTGTTGTTCAACATCTTCATCTGACCTACTCCAGATGACTCTATATGACTTCAAAAAGAACTGGGAGAAAAGACAGAAAAACAGTGGGAAGATCTTTATAAGACAGATCTCTCATATTTGTATATTATTTTAATTATATTTTTATGTTATTATGTGCAGTATTTTGTTTTTAAATGAGATAATTTTGCCTACACTTACTGATTACCCCATGATCTCATATTTGTTTGGTCGTTGTTAGGGCTGCACGATATGGTAAAAACATCATATTGTGATTATTTTGACAGATAATACGATATGTGATATGATTACTGTGGGACAAATTTAATTTTCACTGAAAAAAACTATTAAAATCATGATGATGTGAAATTTTTGGTGTCTATACCAAACAAACATGTTCTCTTACAACAAGATTTGTAGGCCATGTCATCTCTGCAGAACTACAATACATTATAATGCTGTTTTACAGATTTTACCTTTATTTAAAAAATGCAGCTTCTACAATTTGCATATTGCGATTTCAATAATATTGTGATTAATTGTGCAGCCCTAGTTTTTGTTTTGTTTCTTGTTTTTTGCTCCTTATTTGCTTTTTGTACGCTGTCTTTGTGTGAAAAGTGAAGTGGGAAAAAAAGTGATGGATCTCTGAAACAAGATTTATATTTCTTTTCAACTTAGTTGCCATCGAGAAACTTGTGAAACTTGTAAACGCTGGCCGCCTTAAGCGCATCACGGCTGCATGGCGTAAAGTTGCAAAGGACTCAAAGAGGACAAAAGAGTATTTTAAGGTATGAATTTATTTGGAATTTCAACAAAAAAAAACAACTAATTCCTTTTAGCAACTTTCTACATTTCTTTCTTTGTGTGTCCGTATGAATCTTGCAGAGGTTGGAAATGGGCTTTTTTGAAAAAAAAGTCCCCCAGATTTGGGAAGGATATGACGGATTCTCAGTGCTCCCTAGCAGCCTCTCACTGAAGGTAGTTCCTCTCAAACAACACAACATTCACGTGTCCTTCAGCCAGTTTCTTCACATTTTCTTTTATAATGAGCCTAATTAGTTCCCACACAGACAGATTACAGCCCTGGAGTTAGCGGCTATACCTCTCTGTTAAGTAGTCAGTGATGAGATCATATATGTTACATAAGACTTACTATAAAGTGGTTTACTCCACTGTAAACATGCTTTCAGTCTCTTGGAGGCCAGTTGATTAATGACTGTTGCAGCTCATTATGGTGTAGTATAGCTATGACCCATTACCACAGAAGCGTTTATGTTTATGGGACAACTTTCCCACAAGATATGTTGTTGTGTTTTTTCCACATCAATAATTGTATTTTTGTAGAAGCACTTTCATATCAGTCGCTCTGTAGTTTATAAATATGTTCAAAACTCCAGTAAACATCTTTTCTGACTCTGCTCGCACTTACCAGATATAGCCCCTGTTTGCTTTGGATTCACACACGCTGGCAAAGGGAGCACCGTTTTGGCTTTGTTTGCTCTGGTGTTTCTGTCCAGCACTTCTCCTGATAAATAGTGCTCCAGCATGACTATGTTTGGAGAAAGAAAGAGGCTGCTTGTTCACTTACATCACACTGCCAAAGTGGCAGAGGTGGCAGTGGATCCTGTCTGTTCTGGTTTTGGTGCCTAATTGTCTCCTTGACGCTGGCAAAATATTTTGAAAAAGTTACAGCTGGTTCTGTGAGATTAAAACCTATAGGACCAAATATTGATCATGTAATCAGTATGCAAGTTGCTTCATTGCTTTAATCTGCAGATTACTTTATCATAACATTTGGCAAAGGGCAGGGTGTTCTTAAATTGTTTCACTTATGAAATGTCAACACTTCAATGTTTATAAAATGTATCAACCGTTCAGCTTATTTATACCTTATGACAAGAACATTATGGAAGAACAAATAAAATGTTGTGGAAAAAATACCTTAAAGTAGAAAGAAGAAGAAGAAATTCAAATGTTTATACCTTTCTGTATGATCAAATATGTCCAGAGGAAGTAACTAAGTACAAATACTTTATTTCAGGTATCTGAACTTTACTTGAGTATTTATTGTTCTGTTAACTTTTTATTTTAGTCCCAACATTTTTACACAAATATCTGTACTTTCTACTCCTTACGTTTACAAAACAGTCTTGTTATTTCAGTTCAATGTATTTGAGGGGAATTGTTGATTATTATTATTTTTTGCATCAATGCACGCCTTCCCAACATCAATACGGGTGCATATCACACGACAGACTTAACATAACGAAAACAGTATATCAGACAAGAATGGGAGACTCAACCCTATTTAAAGTTTCAGTACACAGAAATAGTTGGTTAAAATGTCCTTCAGAGAAAACCAAGAGGACTTTACTTTACACTTTTATACTTTGAGTACATTTCAGAGCCTGTACTTTTTCAGTGAATCAGTACTTCTTGAATAAAAAATGTGTGTACTTTTGCCACCTTTGAAAATGTCAGATGATTGTTTTCTCTGCAGATCTTTCAATATTTAGAACTGCGAGACTGGCTAAATTGTGCCGAGGTGTGCTACGCCTGGAGAGCTATCATCCAGTCAGGCACATTATGGAGTCAGGTCTGTACTGAGAGGTTGCTTTCCTGTATTTAATTCACAGTAGTGTTTAAAGTTGTAGTTGTTAAATGTTGTAAAGTATAAATGTTCTCTAATATGTGTCCCTTTTAGATCAATTTCTCTGTGGAGAAAAACTGGATAACAGACAGCACAATGAAGCAGATTCTGCAGAACTACCGCCCATTTGTGATCCACCTCAACCTGCGCGGCTGCACGTCTCTAAAATGGCCCAGCTTAAAATGCATCAGTGAGTATTTATTATCCGTATTTCTTTTAGGTAAGTGTGCATTGACCCATACAGATCACGTTCTAATACCAATAATTAGTCAAAACAACCAGAAAATGTGATAACTCTTATATTTTAATTAAAACGACAACACTGACAAAACATAAGAGTACTGCTGAAAAATGTAGTTTCTCCATCTGATACAGACTGTTACACAATATTGAAAGGAAAACAAGAGCCTTTTCTAAAGTCAAATTTTAGGTCACATTTTCAGGACAGCCTGATAATCTGGTATTTCTGTGGCGCTCTCAAGTGGCTCGGCTCCAGCTCCTCCTCCAGCTCGCCCTGCACTTCCATTGGTGTGTTCCATAGCTCAGGGTCTGTTTGGTCTTGATCAGTTCTGCTGTGCTGTCTGTCCTTTGGACACTCTCTGTTGTAGGAATGCACATACTCCTCCACACTTTCCCCAGTATGTTCAGGAGGGGAGTGACACAGCAGGCCAGAGTGCCTCACCCCTGGGTGCAGACGCAGCCAGTACACCATGTAGTGGATGCTGAAAAAGTACAATCAGGTTCTAATCATGATTTGGATTTGTCCAAAAAAGAATTTTTGTTAATGGTTCAGCACAATAACCTACCTGTAGTCACACACCCAGGGGTTTCCTCCCAGTTTTAGCTGTGACAGGAAGTAAAGGTCTTCAAGAACCCCGTATTTGACAAAATGTATGCTGTTGTCAGATAGGTCCAACTCACGAAGGTGCAGGAGTCCAGACAGGGAAGCTGAGAGAAAGAAGAAAGAATTGCATGAGCATACTGTGGCATTATTTTGTTTCTTGCTTTCTTATGTGGCTATATTTAGACAAACGTGTTGCTGGTTATTGTTAACCAGAAGTTTAAAAAAAGCCAGTAATGCAATCAAACTCTTATAGCAATGTGCAGGCTGGTGTTCAGTTTGTGTTTGAATCACTTAAGCAACTCAATGTGTGTAACCCTCTCAGCTTTCTCCACTATAAATAAAGCCAATACTGTGTACACACTGATGGCAGAGTGCCAGGTGTCTCTAACAAGGAAAAATGGGAAACAGAAGTCGGCAGCAGTTGCATAACATCGTCTCAACCTTTTGGCTTTCCATATGTTATCTATCAGCCAGAGAAACTGGACTTTGTTTGTGTAGGTTTTCGTTACAGGAACATTAAGTACATGCTGTGATATTCACGGATTGTGATTAATAGGGATTCAGTAGTAATAGCACACATACCTGTGTCAATGCGCTCCATGTTGTTATTAGTCAGGTTTAGGGTTCTGAGGCTCCTCGCTCCTTGGAAATCTCTGGCTCTGAGATGATGGATTAAGTTATGGGACAGATCAATATGAACAACATCATCTGGAATACCTGCGGGCACCTCAGTTAGACCTAAACATACAGGGGAATGCATTAGTCACATGTATGAGATTAAAAGTCAGCATTTCTTTTTTATTAATTACAATAAAGTCCAGCCAAAGAGTGTTCTAAGAAACCAGCTTGAGTTTCCACTCTTACTACTGTACTGAAGAATTGGACAGAGACAGATTTACGCTCTGCCTCGATCCATAACCTGAATTTGATATTAAAATCCAGGCCTCCTGCCAGCACGAGACTGATAGTAGTAACACATTATTTGATTTACTTTATTCTTAGGCAAATTTTAAATGCAATGAACTTATGCTGACGTGTTAGCCAAACTTTGTTTAGCCAGTGCTTTCCCAAGTTTATAAGATGACAAGTAGAATCAGTCAGCAGAAGAAGGCAAGCAATGTAAAAGTGAATAGAAAACACCTGCCAAACCAGATGTGTTTCTTTGCTAGTTCTGTTTCTGGCTCTGAAAATCCTTTTGAGAAATGGAAGTTTAGTCATTCCAGTCATGTGACGGTAATATTTAATCACGAGCATACGAGCTCTCTGACATAAAGCTTCAGAGATATTTTTCTTTACTGCTCTGTTGCATAAGAAACACGTGGACTAAAACACAGTGAGGTTCAGCTCAGGGTAGAGTGACTCAAACTGATTCAGGAAAATAAAAGCCGATCATGAGCTTGCCTCGTTTACTGCAGTCCATCCGTTTTTGGGGGAAATGGTAGGTATGGCAAGATGTGGTGGCGTCTGGTTTGGTGCGAATTGGAATGGGCTCTATAGGGAATAGGGAATCGGTGTCGTCGCCCTGTGGGTCATTGGTTGGGTCCTTCTCCTTACAGAGTAACTCAGGGTCAACCTGCTTCAACTTCATGCTTTTTAGTCTGGCGGGTTCTGCACACCTAGAAGAGTAAATTTAAAGGTTGTTTGTTATTCTGAGACTCAGTAAATTACTCTTTCACCTGTGGAATCAGAGCAATTGTGTTAGGTTAGTGTCAACCTCTTTGTGGAATCCCTCACCTGGCATGATTTCCTAGATTACGGTTGCTCGGGACCTGAAGGGTGCGGACGAGACTGTCCATCGGGCAGAGACAGTTCCAGGGATTATCATATAGACGTAGGTAGTTCAGGTTCGGCATGGGGATGAGGGCCTCCTCGCTAAGTGTTCCTAGGCGATTGTGCTGCAGCAGAAGGGTTGTGAGGCGTGTCAGACCCTGGAAGGCCCCTTCTTCTACTAAAGAGATCTGATTCTGCTGCAGGTCCAGACTGGTTAAACTCTCATATCCAAAGAAGGCCCCTTCACGAAGAACTTTGATCCGGTTGCGGGCTAGGAGGAGGTGCTTTGGTTGGTTGGACCAGGTCTGCGAGGTGGGAACGGAGGTGAGGCGTCGATCCTGACAGTCTACAAAGACTTCTCTAGATTCTGTCAGTTCTGAGCAGTCAGGCGCTGCAATCCTGGAGGGACCTGATCTGCTGTGACGCCCAGCACCTTTTACCCTGACAGATTTCAAACACAAATAATCAATTTCATGGGTTGTCACTGTCTGTATACAATACGTTTACATGGTCATTAGAGTAGGTGAAAAATGGACCCAAGAGTAAATCCATACCGGTCCCTCGTGAGTTTATGTCTTGCTCCTCTGAGGCCTCTAACCTTCCCTGGTTTTTTCATCTCGGTGGTTGGGAGCAAGAGGAGGAGCAGGGAGGCTAAGAGGAGTGAGGAGATCACACGCATAATGAACCCTGCAGGGATTGTCTTTTCAGTAAGAAGAGCTTGAGCCAAGGCCGGAGTTTGGGATGAAAGTCTTGTGAAAAACGGGCTCGGAGACAGAAGCAATGGGGCAAAGGTGAACAGTGTTATTGTTGATGTAACACAGCTGCTGCTTACCCTACGGAAGAAGTGAGAGTTAGCACATTATATAAGAGATAGGAGCCACCCAGGAATTTATATACAGCTTTGAAAGAAGGCAGAATACTATGACACTTCACGTTGTTCCTTACATAATGTTGTATATTACTTTATTATATCGTAACATACATGTGTTATTATATTATTTATATATAGATACATATTTCCAAAAATGGACTACACAGTTTGACCGGCTGTTTCTCTGTTGTTGTGCTTGTTTCTGTTTTATCAGGTGAATGCAGAAATCTCCAGGAGCTGAATGTGTCAGAGTGTTTTAATGTTACAGTAAGTAAAACATTAAGTCTAATTATAATAGACAGTGGATCATCTTCATATCACATGTCCTGCTTTACTGTTTACACTATTCAAGTTCAAAGTCAACTAGATAGTTAATAATCATAAATATTGTGAAATATTGTTTCAATTCAATTTATTTGTATAACGCCAAATCATAACAGAAGTTATCTTAGGGCACTTTTGAAATAGAGCAGGTCTAGACTGTACTAAATTATTTACAGAGACCCAACAATTCCCATTAAGCCCTGTCCTATAATAAATCAATGAAAATATCCTTTAGCTAAGAAAAAATATTTTGACAGACAATTTATTTGTCTGGTAAAGTGTCCCTCAGTGTTTGTCTTTATTATGTGATCATTGTTCAGATCA